CATTAATACTGACACGTTGTCGCCTCCCTACTAGAAAATCTCTGATCCATTTGAGTGCATTACTCTCAATTCCCAAAGACTTCAATTTACGCAACAACCGCTCATGTGGGACACTGTCAAATGCCTTGGCAAAATCGAGGTACACTTCATCTACAGGCTCCCTTTCGTCCAGCAGGCGGGTCCATTCGTTCGTTATGTAAAAATTAATCTTGATGGTGAAACAGATCAGGGAAATTTGGGTAGGGCGCGAAAGGCCTAGAGCATTCAGCAAACTGACGATTTAACCATCTACATAAACAACCGTCAGCTCAACGCCTTGGAACGGTACATAAGGTCGAGATAATCCAGATCAGGCAGTTCTCACAGTTTTCTTCCACTGTCAGCCATTACGTGGCAGTCCGGCCCCAGCCGGCCACCGTTGCCGAAGCTCGGGACGACATGCTACACGAGTCAAAGGTTGGATCATTACTTTATTATTTAGTTAGGAAATTGTTTCCGCGTTGAAAATCCATGCGTGGATCCTGAAGCTAACAAGGTCCAATAGATGTAGAAACAATACAACCTAGAATTTCGAAGTGTTAAATGCCTCGAGTAAAAATTTTAAAGGAAAAAGTTTTAGTAGTGCAATGTTCCCATCTTGTATTGATGACCCTATTTTTTAGTGTTCGACTTCATTTGCAAGTTATGCGACTCTTTGACTGGAATACGCAATGACCAATAAATATCTCCCAATAAATATTTATAAATATGAATTCTTGACAAGTTCCGCTCGGGTCCAGTTTTTGAGTGATCTTTTATTTACCAACTTTGTTCTTAGAACAGATAAAAAAATTTATGGGCCTATACAATGACGATCTTCACTAAAACAGGAACCTTGCGTGATAAATTGTCGCAGCCCGTAATGCCGCATAGGCTGGAGATAACTTCAAAATTGGAAAGGCATAATAGCAAATAAGAAATAAAAAAAAGGAAAACTCAATCAAGAAAACAAAGTTGCAAATTTCTTAAAAAAATTTTCCGTGATTGGGAGGATATTTTATGGCCACTGCAAAATGGACGACTGGCAGCGGAAATTTCTGTGTATTAAAATGTAAACTAGAAGCTCGCAGAGAAGCTGCCACGCAATCAAATGTTCTCACTAAACAGGTCAAAGAATCATACATTATTAAGTATTTATTAATCGTTTTTAAAAGCGTAGACAAAAATATTCAGCACGAGATTATTCGTTACTCATTTTATAATTTGTCACCGTCTTATTAAAGTAGAAGTCGGACTTACGGTACATTCTTAGCTTTTAAAACTAAGTGGGCATTCGAGGCAGAATGTTCAATGTCTGCAAAAGTGATCTTTTGATGAAACAGACCCTGAAATATTTCAAGTTTTTATCTTAATGATTAAGCAGATATTGGATGGACACGTTCCCTAAGCATTGGCAATTTGTCCATTAACGTTCCTCTCTGAGCCAACCAAATGTCCGTACATGTGATTCGCGTTACACGCAAATAAACAAAGAAGTGCAACATGACATAACATTGCATTAAAAATAATCGAGAATCGTTTAAAAGCTATTAGACGCGGCTCCATTTCGGTAAACAATAATCACAAATATACAAAATACATATGAACACAATACAAAACTCTTACGGTTCTAAATTATAACAAACACATATCAGCGGATACACAAAATGTTAAAATCGGCAAATATCAAACTAAACACGTACGCCTGCTCGATTATTGAACGGTTTCCATCATTTTTAAACTACATGCGTTGTTTTTTACCTGAATGGCATGAGCTAATATGAGGTCGTGTTCTCATATAGAGTTTGCATGCCTGACCAAATGAGCTGAAAATAACATCGTTAATCCTTTTTTCGTCCTGCAGATTGACCACGTTGAAGAATACAGCCTAATAAACATGTCCACGCCAGGAAACTTTCGTCCGGATGAATCCGAATATTTAGAAGAATTTGCTCCAAAGTTAAATGCAGGCGTAAAACATTTCTCCAAAAACTATTTTAGAAAAACAGTTTTAGAAAAATCAGTCGAATCAATCACGCGTTTGCGCAAAGTTAACATGAGTATCATGTTAGTGATGTTACCATGAGAATCATGTTAACATGAATATCATGCGCCGACTGAAGAGACTTCCAACGCGCTTGTTTAAAAGTGTTTCTCACATTCACATAATTATCACTGTATATTAAATATCCAGACATCAAGAGCATGACAATAGATTATTGGAAGTCAACGATCTGCACATAGGATCAGATTCTTACAAGGTAAAATACATTATAGTTTATAATTATATGCGTGTGATAACGCTGGTCGTGACTCGCGTGAGCGATGAGCGTTCTTAATTAAACAGCAAGGCTCACCAAACGGCCAAAGATTGACGAGTTCTGACAAGAAAAAAAAATGCAGGGAGCTTTAAATATATATGATGATAATCTTGTTTAAACGAGTTTGATTAATGACCACAGAATATATTAATTGAAAATTTCAGGTTCGAAGTGAAAATTTAAATCAATAAATTCTCTGGTGAATAATAACACCTATTTAAACAAGCTTATTCTTCCATCTAGTACTAATAATGTTAATCGTACATGTTTTTACATTCAGTAGATACTGAAAATTTTAGTGATCACAAGTTAAATTTGGTTGGTTTTTGACTGGCGATTAGTTGATATGTAATCAATTACGTGCATTAATTTCCATGCCGGAACTCGTCTCATTTTGGCATGGACTGAGCCAGCCTCCGTAAGTAAGACAAGGCACACTAGTTGGCAGAAAGTTTATCGGAAAACCAAAGATTTTTCCAGCTATATTATTATAGAAATAAAGTTACATAGAAAATACCTTGCAGTCACATTCCTGCCAGTCATCCAGTTTAAAATCTCACAGTTAAAAGGAGCAAATCACTTGGGCTCGGGGTAACGATACGTCGGCATCGTTTTTTGGCATATGCTTGCAAAGTAAAAAATTTAGCAAATTCTTTCACAAAGCAAATAGGAAGCAAAAGTTATAAAACTTGCCGAGTATTTCTTTAACATCACAGTAGAATATGTTTCTATTAAATCAACGTAGTGGCCCATTAAACGTAAGCATCTTCAATAACTCGGCATGTCTAGACAGATTGAATATAATGAGCTGTCAAAGCTTTTCAGAGATTAATTAAGTTAGAAATGAAAAATGGGAGGTCAATTCACTAATTTCATTCCTTCGATAGAAGTGAATGAAATTCTATTATAAATAATATTGATGCGACAGTTGTGCATGCTGACACGAGTAACACGTACAGACTGCACCGCCACACGAAGAGAATAAGTTATTGTGGCATAAATATCGAGCTCTTTAAACACAAGTTCTTGATTCACTAACAAGTTCTTAACTAAAGTATTTGAGATTTTTAGAGTATGAAAACATGAGAATTGAAAAAAGTATAAAATTTTGACACAAATAACATAAAATGGACACTTCATTGAAATGAATATTAGTGAAAATTAAATACAGACGCTGAAACGAAGCATAACACGGAACTTTCAAAGTCTCAACAGGCTTCTAAAGTAAACATTGTAAGCCAAATAAAAGGTAATGAACTTCAAATGCGGAAGTTAAAGCTATGATAATAAATTACGAATTTAAGTTTAATAAAATTTTCAACGACACCGCCACTAAACGCAGGAGCTTAGAGCCCGAGGACCAGCACCACTTGAAAATACACATAAACAATTTAATTATAAATTGCAATTAATAAATGTCGCTCTGACACATTCAGTTAAGTATCATAAATGTTTGAATACTTATAACCTAAGAATTTTTTCATCAGGAGGGAAAGTTTTTTTCATTCCCGAAATAAAACCTGGTGAGGTTGCATTTTTCTATTAAACAATAAAATGTTTCCTGGAATAATACAGCACCGACGCACAATCATTTACAAACAATACTTTAAGTAATTAACAATTTAATTTATAATAACATTTGGAATAGAAATTCCTCTCTAAATAACTTAAAGTATTTATAGCTATACTATCCTGCAGTGAGTGCACCAGCTCTCGTTCAACACGCCTTACGAGTAACAATAGCAACAATATACTTTTATTTAGGTTATTTTCCTCTCAAAAATATACATAATCTATTTACAATATAACGAACAACACCTACAATATATAAATACAGTAATTCATTCACCCCAAATTACGTTCATTTCAGTGCAATTAATTCGAAAAACAAAAGCCCTTCAGTATTTAACACGCTTGCTTGCTTCCATCAATAGAAATACGTTCCTGATAAGAAAACGTTCATTCTTGGTACAACTTCTAGTCACTTAGGAAGTCGCCAGTTAATTGTTTCACAAGAAAATAAAAGCAATTCAAAACTTTATTTGGTCGTGAAGATTTTTCAGACGAATATTGTTCCTGTTCCACCAGAGATCACAGGGGAATAAATTCAGACATTTAAATGCATGTTCGATGACACAGGCATTTAAAAATGGTAGTTCTATAATACAAGAACATATATTTAAAAGCGTTGTCTAGCTACCTCAGCGTTGTGACTGCGCGTGAAATTGCAGTCAAGCTGAAAAGATAAACTACCACGCTTTAGGTTTCAATTTGTGAACTATTTACCAACTCTGTAAAAAACTAGCACTCTTTTCCCAAAATAATCATCTCTTCATTGAGCCATAAGTATTGTATTCATTGATATTTCCGTTATGAGTTTACGTTTGTTCCAAATTCTGGGAACGAGATGAAACAAGTAATATGAACTTATTCGTCATGATCAATGTAACAACAATTATGAGCAGTATAATAATGTATAAGTTCATACTTGAAATAAATCGCCTTCAAAGCGGTGCATGACTAGCATAACTTGGCACTTAAACTGAAGCCCGAAGTCCATCCTTGCAGGCAAAGCTGTTCAGCAGAGGCCGCGCTACCAAAATTTACTCACTAACACGTAGCGGCTCAGGTACACGTACCCTACCAATATTCGGGGACCGCCTAGGCTTCGGACGAATAGTCACTACACTCGGCCCAAAGTTATTCTGGGCCTGCTGGCCCACCAAATCGAAATCCGTTTCTGGTCAGAATCTCATTTCCGACTTTATAGTCGCCCAAGAGTATGACAAGGGTTGCCAAAATCGAGTCATACCGAGCTTGCAAGCTGCCCAGAGGCTGTCATTCAAACCCTGAGCCGAAGCGGAAATGAGCGGCTGATTTACGTGCCCCCCGAGTCCAGGGCGGCACATAAAGCAGGGTCGCCACCGTACCTATCAAACTTTTGTTAGGGTAACGGCTCAAGTACACGTAGCGACTCAAGTACACGTAACGGCCGGTTTCGTGTCTGCATGTGACTGTTGGGTTTAGCTTGAAAAGCCGTTAGTGATTGGCTGACGGACCTATGAGCTAGAAATTTTTGATAATACGGCCTCTGTTGAACATAAACTGCACATTTCTTTAGCTCGAGTAGCACTAATACCAAGGAGCGAACGGACCATTTCCATTTGAAAAGTTTCGGACGTGGAGTATTTTCGGATGTTCGGTGAATTTATGCGAATGATTCCATACTCTTAAATCGAACCAGGATGTAAATTAAATTAATCCAATGTGTTCATAACAAATTAGCATGATGTTATGTATGCATAACAAGTTAGCATGAAGTTATGTATGCATTACTGCATTACTATTCAGTATGATATGAAAGATGTGACCTTACTAAAAACAATACATTCATCTCAATAAATTTTATATAACGAAACTGTTATTTAGAAGACATATTGATGGCTAGGCCGAGACATATTGATGGTCTCTTTCTTTAAAAAAATGTACATACATCTAGTAAATTAAATGAGATTTTTATACCAATTGCGCGTTCAAAAAAGTGTCCTCTACGGCACAAATTCTCCTACGAAGTCAAACAAACAAACGGATATAAATATTTTATCTGAATTACCAAACAGTGAATAAAATTGAGGTACGATGAGTGCAACACTCAAACGGTTAGGACATTAAGCGTTAAAGTTAGACATAAAATGCGTTAGAGAAGCGACTTCAGAGCGCGTATATTGTGAGTGGGAGGAAATTTTCCCTCCAGAAAAGCAAGTAATATTTACACATGAAAAACTCGCTAAATACCGGCAAATAAAAATGGCAGCGTGAATTGGCACGGCTTCGTGAGCTAAAAGTTACATTAATAAACAACCTTTCGTGATACTCCACAAGCTACAAACTTCGGGGCGTCGTCAGGGATGAGCAGGTGCTAGGAGCGGAATTGTAATAACTTGTCTAAAACGGACATGTATTAATACCCATTCTTTGACAAGTTACCGGAAAGCGTTGGGTCCGGTCTTTTTCTTTCAAAGAATCCCATTTTGCAGAGTATGAGAATAATGAGGGCGAGCAGCAGGAGTCCTGCGAAGACTGAGACCAAGATCACCCACAGAGGCACAGACTGCGGCTGCTCCAGCAGGTTGGCATAAGCCTTGGTCTCTGCCACAGCAACGTCGTCACTTTCATCTTGTCTCGAGCGGATGTCTTCTGGCAGTAAAAGTTCGCCACGTGACTGCACGTTGACGAGGTTCACGTGCGCGTAGTCCTCTACGAGCGTCGCGTTCCACAGCCGCGACACAATACGGATGCTCGCCGAGCTCTCGGCGCCCAAGTTGCGGATTGTGCAGCGGATGGGGATGCACTTGGCCGTCGGCACGTCCCCGGTACAACGCTGCGAGTCAAAATTATATCCAAAGTCAATCAATTGAGATATTTGAATATAATGTCTCAATTATACACGTATAACAGAGGAAAGCATTCATGACGCAATGGTGAATAAATAAGACTGGAAGTATAAATAATATTCAAGTTTGATTACAGAAATATCGAAGTGAACTATCGTATAAATATCACAATAACATAGGAACGCATTCCGCACAGAATGATTTCAATAATTGCAGCGGCTATTTCCATCAGCGAATCTTCTCACTATTGCAATTTTTGACTCACCAAGGTAACAGCCTGCAGAGTCCGCCCAGTCTGGTCGTCTGTGAAGGCCTCAGGTTGGACCACCATCTCCTTGTCCCTCTTGACACGTCTCAGTGAGTGTCGCAGCTCACCGTTGTTGTGGGTGTTCGCTAGAAATTCATTTCCTCTACTTGATGATTCCTTCAACGGATCCAAAGAATCAACTTCTCTCCACTGAGAGGCTTGGCCATCGAAGTCACGGCGAGAATACACTTTGGCTTCACCAGTTTTACCGTCGATCTCAGTTCTGGTGAAAGTTTTGCCAGGGTTGTGGTCGCCATCGATCTCATTTTCGTAGTCGTAATACTCATAATCGTCGTCAGTATCGTGAGATGATTTATCATCACTTATGCTTCTGCTGCTGCCCTGAGAGCCAGAGGTGCTCCACCCATTTCTCAAACCTTGAGATCTGTCGTCAGTTATACTCCAAGTTAGATTTTCTGAATGGTCACTAATTCTGTTAGCTCCACCTCTACTGTTGCTCCTTGAGGAGTCACTGGTTCTATCGCTTCCAATGCTCCAGCTATTTTCGCCACTTCTTGAAGAGGAAGGATTACCCGACGAAGATGGGGTATTGTCGTCCGTTCCACTCTTCCGGAATCCTCCAGAACGCCATCTCGCTTCAGTTCTCGGCAAGATATTGTCAGAAGATGTTACAGTTCTGCTTGAATGATAAGTGTGATGGGAACGATTCGAATCTTCTTCAAACGGTGAGTAGGTTCGACGATGAGAAACGTCTAAAGAATTTTCATTAACTGGTTCAGAGTTGTACCCAGAAGATGCTCGACCAGCGAATGTAGAACTTGAACCTGAGCTTTGAGCGACCGAATCAGTATCAGCATCTATGGCATTATTGCTGGGGTGAGAACTAGAAATTGACGGTCTATAATTTGTTCGATCTCTGCTATCATACGTTTGACCATGAACACCCGAACCAGGTCTTGAATCTTGGTCAGTTCCTACGTTAGTACTCGTGCGGGAGCTAGACACACGTTTAGAATACTCAGTTTTCCTGGAATCAACGTTGCGATCATTCCATTCAGGATTGTAATACGATTCAGAGTGGGTGCGGCGAATCTCAGTTTTTTCATGCCTGGTTCGGGAACCGTCTTCGCCAGTGGAGGAGGTGCTGGTTCGTCTTCTATCTTCCCGCCCCCTTCCTCCGTCGAACGTGCGAGATCTCCAACCAGAGTCCCGATCAAGGCTAGGGTTGCTTGAATCCTCATGTCTCGATCTATCATCGAAGGAAGAAAATCTAACTCTATCGTCACCACCACCTACCGATGAAGCGTATCGATCGACCTCGGCTCGCTCTCTATAACCATCGTTAGACCGAGATCCTTCCCAGTCTCTATCCATCCCGTCTCTTGAATTTGTCGATGAGCTAACTTTTGAGGTGTATATCCTTCTTGATTGTTCTGACCGACTCGTATTTCTTAGGTCTTCGGAACCTTCGGAGTGTGGACTTACCGATGTATGTGTTCTATGAAGCTCATTTTTGTCCTCGGTTCGAAGCGAGCCGTCTGGGTCAGTGTAGCTATTGCTGCTCCATTTTCTAACTTCCCGTCCGCGTCCACCGTCAAAAGTACGCGATTCATAGCGAGTCCCATCCTCAGATTCGGCTGCGTCGACCTCCCCTATGCGATCTGAGATATCATTTCTTTCATTGAAATTTGATCGTTCGCTGCCAAATCTTCGTGATGGGATTTCACCACTTTCGCTTGTTGAGTGAATACGAGTTGACTTTTCTCTTTTTGTTGACGATGACCAGCCTGAACGTCGACCTTCAGAAAATGAGAGAGGATCTACATATCTTGAATCACCATCAGTGCGTGACCAATCTCGACTGCGGTCTCCATCAAGTCGGTTACTGCCTGAAGAAGTCCGATAAGACGTGACAGTTCGATCGTACTGATCACGGCCAGATGATGAATCCCTGCTACGATCTCTTTCGGAAAGAGGCCTGTTATCTTGACGTGTGTCTGGAAGCCGAGAAACGCTTTCTGGAAGCTCTTCACCAAAGAGATTGTTATCTTGATTGCGGGATCTTGTTCTTATGGAATAGTCTCGACGGCTGACACGGGAATGTGTTCTCGTGCCCACCGGACCCACATTCGAGGGATTAGAGTGGCGAGGCTGGCCATACTCATCACCGTAATCATAATCATAATACTCATCATCTCCGCTGCTGTGAGATTCATGAACAGAACTCGAAGAAACAGATTTATCTTCTTTAGTGGTCTTCGATGTTTCGGAACGGACAGTATTCACAGTAGAACTTGTAGATATTGTTTTATTGATGGTCGTGCGGTTACTGGACTGAGATGAGACTAAGGTCCCAGCATCTTCGGGCTGCCCCACGACTGGGGCGGGCGTGGGGGGTTTCTGAACCGTGGTTACCTCTGCTTCCCCAGCAACGTCCTCAAAAGGGGAATAAATTGGTGAACGTTTCCATGGCAGACCAACCGGGTTGACGTATTTGGGATCAACCTCACACTCGCCGTCACCTGTCCGCAATAAATCATAAAAATAAACTACAAATAAATAATTAATTTAAGATAAAGAATAATAATATTGACAATTTCACTGAAAAATCACACCTTACATCGGACAACATGTAACATGCGAAGTAGACGTACCGTCAACCGTGGGCGTGTTGACGAGGTAGAGCAGCCACTTGCCCTGCGGCATGAAATTCTCTACCTGGTACGGCCACAGGACCTCCACCTCCGTGCTGTCCACACGCCAAGGGCCCTTGTTGTCTACCACGTACTTGTGCACCACTTCAGCACCTGCGAGTGATGACAATATGACTTCAGCACCTGCGAGTGATGACAATATGACTTCAGCACCTACGAGTGGTGACAATATGACTTCAGCACCTACGAGTGATGACAATATGACTTCAGCACCTACGAGTGATGACAATATGACTTCAGCACCTACGAGTGATGACANACTTCAGAACCTACATGTGATGACAATATGACGACTTCAGAACCTACATGTGATGACAATATGACGACTTCAAAACCTACATGTGATGACAATATGACGACTTCAGAACCTACATGTGATGACAATATGACGACTTCAGAACCTACATGTGATGACAATATGACGACTTCAGCACCTACGAGTGATGACAATATGACGACTTCAGCACCTACGAGTGATGACAATATGACACAAATGCAACTAAAATAGTTCTTCTAGCTGGTCAGCGATCCAGTGATGGTCGTAGAGCTCCCTGTGGCCTGAGTGCCAGGAAAAACTGACCTATCATACCTACTTTACCTCGTTGCCGCTACCAAGAGATGCAGTGACAACAACAAAGTTACAGGCGTTCACTCAAAAATATATAACGGGAAATGCGCAATAAAAACACTACCGTAATGGCAAGCGTTGTATGAAGTGATTATGACGCTGTTTCTCTCAATGAAATGTAGTTATTTACCGATAAAAGAAATCATTTGGGTAATTATCGTAAGTTTGGTTTAGAAAAGAGTATACAATGCAGGTCAATCAAGCACCACACTTGATCTTCGCTCAAAAGTCTCAATAAATAATATCATTGTACTTATGGCTTCAATATAAATAATATCAATGTATATATGGCTTCAATATAAATAATGTCATTGCACCTATGGCTTCAATATAAATAATATCATTGTACCAATGCATGGCTTCAATATAAATAATATCATTGTACCTATGGCTTCAATATAAATAATATCAACGATAATAATATTGTACCTATGGCTTCAATATAAATAATATCAATGATGATAATAATGTACTTATTAATAATGTACCTATGGCTTCAATAGAGGTGACGCCGGTTTCTCCCACGACGTCTCCACTGAAGAACACTTGTTCAGGCTCCACCGATCTGTTGGAAATCATTTGGGTTGAGAAGTTTGACGACTTTTGTCTCTAAAATTTAAAATATTGTTTGTAAAATGAATTTGCTTGACAATGGGCGTGTTTTTACTATCACGAATGAAAATTTTACGTCCAAATATTTAAATTTTGTACTGTTTTGCAGAAATACAAGATCGGTTAAAATGCTCCTTTAAATAGAACCATACACCACGGTAACGAATTGAACTCATGCGCACAAACTGAACGCGACTATTAAGCATGAAATAAACTATAACTTATATGAGTATCTATTGAATAGCATTTTAATAAAGACATTAAAGTCTACCACTCTAGATACAAGGTAGTGCACGTATCCCAGAGCAAACTCAGCAGCGAATATATGTTTATCTCAAGTGGCGGTAAGAATCAGCTCGTAACCTAACATTGATAACTTGAAGTCGTCATAGATTGCAGAAATCGTAATATTACACACGAAAAGTAAACTTTTAGAGATTAATTTGATCTGAAAACAGAGTTTTTCGATTTTCAAGTCACGAGATAGTTGAGAAATTAATCGCGATAGTATAAAATGCTAACTGCTTCAACGCTGTATCTATGTGTATATGGATGCATGCGATGGCCTAGCGTTATACTTCATTCATACGCCACTGAAAGCAGGAATTGTAAGTAAGCTTCTGGACATTATAGTAAAGTTGGTAATATTGCATGACAGAGCTTGCAGCAAGCCGTGGAAGAACATCTAACGTACGTTGTTGGTATGACATTGAGAAAGCGATGAGCGAGATTCTAGTATTGATACGGGCAAAATTTACGGAATGAATAAAAAACACTGCAGGCATAAAATGTTAAGGAAGAGCAGGGAATGAATCGAAATATAAATAATTTCTACGAAAATCGCTTGAATATAATCCATGTTCAGGTTGATAATGATTTCCTAATTGATTTCCTCACCCTGACGCAACACAAGACCATAGTCGAAATAGGATTATTGACTTGGTAACATCGTTATAACATCAAAAATAAATCCAACGAATAACACCAATAATATGAAAATGGTCAGTCTAAACGTGCACAATATTTCACGCTTCGGCAACAAATTCCCATTAAAATTGAACAGCGTTAAGTGAGTCTGAATTTGTGATTTGTATGCGAAGCATCCATTTATTGTATTGGTATTTAATGGGTATTTAATTGCAAGTAATCGAGTTGCGGCTTATCTAGCTAGCCACTCAGCTACATCAACATGTGTATCAACATCATTAACAGTTGAATTACTACAGTTATACAGTTAGAAGAATCGTGTTTTTCAAAGGCTACCGATAAAAGAAAAAGGCTTTCAGTTTTTTCAGAGGCTACCGAAATGTCATGACAACTCATCATCGCAACAAAACCTTTTAACCTTGTCGGACGACATGGGTACAACCGTACCCACAGTATATATGATTATAACGTTGAAATATTATGCAGTCTGGCAAAAGTTTAATGTCGTATAGCAATTTTGATGTTATGGTGTTATGTTATGGTACTCACTTAATGAACCGCTTCGGGCCTCAAAGAAGGAAAAATTGCGTTTTCAACATATAAATTGTTAAGCGCAAGAACAATAAAACACACAGTCGTTCTGAAGATGAATAGCTCAGCATGATAGCATGATCGGTTATTAGGATGATTGGGATTAGTGCAAGTGAGTGTGCAGTTTAACAGGCACGGAAAGATTGAAGATTTAAAACGTACTCACTTAGGCTCTGTAGACCTGAGAGCAGAAAGCACCCAACGAGATATTAGCCACCCAAAAATGGGATTACAACAGGGATAGCAATCATAACTGTACGTAATGAATTTTGCTGTAACTTTTAATCGTCAGCTAAAGCGCAAATACGACAAAATATCGAATCAAGACAAAGAAGTCTTAGTTGCGTCCGCAGCGTTAGATACATTGCCATTTCAAACACTGCTGTTCCGCAAGCAGGGCACAAAGGTTGTTCGGTTATTTCATCAGCAGAAGCAAAAGCTTAATTATAGCACGAAGCATTAAGGGGATCATTTACAGTGATTCAAATATTGCATTATAATTAATGAATATCATCTAAACCAAATAAGCACAGCAAGACTGTTTCTTCATTTACCAATAGATGACCTCATCTAAAAGATGAGTAAAGTGGTTTATTAAAAAAGTATAAAACTTATGACTTAGCTTCCGTCATGTAAAATCGTGAAAGTTCATAATTATAACAGTGCCTGAGCCAGCGTTTAACCATTTCATTAATAAACGTTAATAATATGAAGAGGAGAAAAAAATTGTGAGACTAACCCCGTGATGGAGACCTCGGCGCGCTTGAGGATCTCGAGGACGAGGTCGATGTTGTCCTGCGGCGTGCGCTCGTTGGAGGTGGAGTTGGCGAAGACCTTGAAGCGGATGAAGCGCTTGTCGAAGAAACCCGAGGGCTTGAATGCCAGGAGGAGAGGCCCCGTGGAGTTGGTGAGGGGATTACCGAGGGTACAATGTACCAGGTCTGCCCTCACGGGCACGCATAAGTAGCTCCCCGTCTGTGAGGGGGGAACGAGTTAAAAGAGGGAAGAATATTAAAGAGATAAATAAAGCAGCACTCCTGCACTCTACGCTCCATAAACTTACGTCAGACTCCTTGATGCTGAACGCCATGGAGTCGTGCTAGGCCAGCACTCGTCCTGCACTCCACGCTCCAAGGTAACTCCAGAAACTCACGTCTGACTCCTTGATGCTGAACGCCATGGAGTCGTGCTAGACCAGCACTCGTCCTGCACTCCACGCTCCAAAGTAACTATAAAACTCACGTCTGACTCCTTGATGCTGAACGCCATGGAGTCGTGCTAGACCAGCACTCGTCCTGCACTCCATGCTCCATAAACTCACGTCTGACTCCTTGATGCTGAACGCCATGGAGTCGTGATGCTCCACGAAAAGGCTCGGTTCGTACGCGGGGTCGCCAGAGTTTGTCACGGAGGCCTCCAGCAGCGCCACGTTGCGCAGGCCGAGCTCGAACACTTGGTGCGACCTGTTGAAAATTAACGTAGAATAAAAAGTTTAAAAATGTACATTAAGTCGAGTTGAAGCGTGATTTTTGGACATAGACGACACCCGTACTATTTACGAAGTCTCGGTAAATTATACCACGTCCAAATCAGCATGGGAGTCTACGACAGTAAGTCCGGTGGCCGTGATCACGCTTTATCCGATCATCAGTGAATGCAGTCTTGACAATATACACGTGGTAACTCGGATGATATTATTATACGTACTACGTTATATATATTGACATGCTATGTTTCACTTCTACAGGTTGATTTGAAAGCTATGGTCGATAAGGCTGCATTCAGTAGATGGACACATCAGCGGAGAAAAAGTGCACGAGATTAAAATAACTCGAGAATTTCCGTGGCGAGTCAGTCTTCTATTTTAGCCGTATTTACTTTGTTCAGATATGCCACAACATTTTTTTGTGGGCCATCTTCTTAATAAACAACCTATAGTACGGGTCTCCATGGCAGTTTTTTTAAATCAAGACATAAAATTCAACTTCAAAGAAGTTACAACTAACAGGATTGAAGATGTTATTGAAAGGCTTACTTTGACTTGTCGTACGGCAGCCGAAGATGCGCCTCAGTGTGCAGGTCGCTGTTGCATATGTCGTCGTCTCCACATTCCTTCACGAAATGTCCATGGAATATCCTGAAGAAAACGAGTACTTAAAAAAGGGGTTTGAATAACCCTCTTTCTAAATTTATCACATAATTACATGTTAAAAAAGATTCGCACCAAAGCGAAGGATTGCGAGGTAAATTTTGAATCCACAATAGCATGAAATGCCAAGAAAGGATCGCTGTAGAGATCTCGTAGAGGAGAAGTAGAGGTCGAGCACTGTATTTCGTTCACACTGGTATATGGACCACCAAAAAATTATTAATTTTGGGAGACCTTAAGAGGTGTTTCTCTGCTGCTGAATTTTGATACATGGCGGTTGCTATAACCCTTACCACTAAACGTCAATGGCATTATGAACTTGTTCAATAATCAAAGTTGAACACGTATTTATTGGCTAACATACAAAAAAGCATGAGATCACCAAGATAATAGACAACAACAACGGGAATTCAAGTAAATTGCTACTGTGATCGCATTTCAATTGGTGAGAGGCAAACAAGAATATCTTATTAAAAAATTTTCCTTCTACCAAGTTACTAGCCCACGACGACAAAAGTTTGAGGAGCGAGATGATGTAATTCACAAAAAAAAGGGGAATTACCACCCTCAGACGCATATGTTTCAGCTAAACATCACGTTCGGATGTGTCTTTGGAAGAACATTGTACTAGAGGATGTATAAAACTTTATAACCTATCTGGATGCGCAATAGAGCAAATTTCTTAATAGATCATTGACAAGAAAGCATACGAGTGGTTGCTGAATGCCTGCATTGGAGGTGCAACTGCAAAAATTTTCTGATAGGTCTTCGAAAAAAACAGAGTACGCGTAAATTTATAAAACCTTGTAGGCCCAACTAAAATAATTTCCATAAATATCTTTCTAATGGAGAGCAAACTGAGGGCAAATACACGGTAAGTACAGACAGGCCCCGGGAGCTTGGCGGCGAGGACGACTGACCTAACAGGGCTGAAGGCGGCGGAATACTGAGGCGGCGCACCAGCGTGACCTGGGACTGCTACGTCCAAAACACATACTAGGGATAGTAAGGACTAAGGGAGCTCACTTGACCGCCTCCTGCTGGTCCAAGATGGGGAAATCGTCGATGTTGGGGAGCGGGCGACCCTCCTGAGAGGGGGAGGGGGTTCGTTGGATGATCTCGTAGGACAGCTTGAAGCGCAGAGGCCTCAACAGATCCCGGCTGCCAGACTGTAAACCAAAGTAAAAAAAAACAACTGTTAATTGCAATTTTAATTCAATATTAATATCAAGTTGAGATATTCCAAATAAAGTAAAACTAATACAAATTACGTGTATATACATCAACCTTATCTAGATATAGGGTCTATACCTACAAGCTACGTGCAATGATACATGGTTAAGATTTGCAAATTATTTTAAATTTCCATATTCAATTTAATTCACACACGAACCACGGCTAAAATGATCAACATCATTGCACACCACCAACCCCTCCCCCAAGGTGGGGGCCCTAGTACACCCACCTTGAGGTAGGCCACCTAGTACACCCACCTTGAGGTAGGCCACCTAGTACACCCACCTTGAGGTAGGCCACCTAGTACACCCACCTTGAGGTAGGCCACCTAGTACACCCACCTTGAGGTAGGCCACCTAGTACACCCACCTTGAGGTAGGCCACCTAGTACACCCACCTTGAGGTAGGCCACCTAGTACACCCACCTTGAGGTAGGCCACCTAGTACACCCACCTTGAGGTAGGCCACCTAGTACACCCACCTTGAGGTAGGCCACCTAGTACACCCACCTTGAGGTAGGCCACCTAGTACACCCACCTTGAGGTAGGCCACCTAGTACACCCACCTTGAGGTAGGCCACCTAGTANGAACATCTGAACATGTTCAAGATCCACTTAACATTGCTATGACACTAACCCGTCTCTATTGATGTCGAGGCCGAGCACCTCGAAGCCGAAGCTGGAGGCGAATATCTGAACATGTTCAAGATCCACTTAACATTGCTATGACACTAACCCGTCTCTATTGATGTCGAGGCCGAGCACCTCGAAGCCGAAGCTGGAGGCGAACATCTCGCCGTCCAAGACGAGGTCGACCACCAAGAGACTTTCGCCGATCTTGGCACGCGAGAAGAAGACGACCTGCCCGGTGCCGTTGGAGCGCGGGGCGCCGCCTACGTACGACACGTAGTCGCCGAAAAAGAAGCCCGTCGTCACCGAGTAGCCTGGGGGAGTAGGAGTAAACGCAAGGTGGTTAGTGGCTGCCAGGAAAATGAGTTGAAATCGAAGAAGTATTCCGTTGTCACCGAGTAGCCTGAGGCGGTAGAAGTAAACACAACGCGGTCAGCAGCTGGCATGAATATGATTGGAAATTCAAGAAGTAGCTCGTCATGACAGAGTAGTTACGAACCTTATAGCAGTGAGTAAAGTAATTGATGGTAGACAGGTATATCCGAAGTCAAAAGAAGCTCAAGGTTCTCCCTGCAGGATGCTGAGGAAGCCATGCTACTACACACTTGTACTCGGCTACGATCACACCACGGCAGTTCCTTGGCAGTTGGCATCCTACTCGATCATTAGGAGGAGGCGCTCGCCAAACTTCACATGCCCTCAGAGCGGAACACATCCCTATTCACCCAGCACCTCTTCCACTGCTCATCCCTTCTCACAGCCCCTTTCTAGTGGGACAGTCCCATGCAGGCGGCTGCCTCACTATTTTGCTCCCGACCTCTTCCCTCATCCTACTGCAATCTCACCACCGCCAATTGAGCCATCCCCTTAGCACGCATTGACACTGTGCCACGGCAGCATGAGGTCGTCTGCCTTAACCGATTATCGCAGTAAAGCCATAACAGAATAAAGCGTCACAGGTGCCGGGGACATACGATGTAGAAATTTGAAAATTTTCGTCGTTGTAATGTAATCCACAAGGTGCGGTGACGAGTGATTCAAAACTAGAACATCATCAAAAAGAAGATTATACGAATATAAAACGCACTGTGCACTCTTGAGTTTAGATGACACCCAATGCCATGAAAACTTTGATAGTGCGAATAAAACATTTCCGAAGGCAGATATTGCCAACAGCTTAAATTACTACGCACACACTTAATTCTTTCATCCAGAGCCGGTACAACAAATTCACGACGTGCATTTATCTGTGGTTGTTGTTGTTGTTTGTTGCGCCGTCACGCTCGTCGGGGGGGGGGAGGTGGTTCAGGTGGTGGCCGGGGGTAGGTACCGGAAGAGAGGGGAGATGGGCGAAGGCAGGGAGGGTGACCAGGAAAGCCGCTACCTCCACGGGGCTGTCCCAAAGTGAGGAGACGCTGAGGGACGTGGGGGAGGAGGGGCAAACGGAGAGATGCTGGACGGACTGGAGGGGATCCCAGCACTCAGGGCAGGCGGAGCAAGGGTTGCGTCCGACCCTGTGGGTGTAGGACGCCAGGGAGCCACAGTATCCCGAGCGGAGCTGGGATTGAGCCGAACGGTAGGGGTAAGGAATCGAGGCTTCCACTGATGCTATCGGCGGTGGTAAGGGCTGCGAGGACGGCGTTGATGACGTCAGTCGCCGTAACGCGGGAGGCGATCTCCCTGCGAAGGGAGCGCTTCGTCTCACCATAGGCAACGGCGAGCATGACACCGTTTGCCAGAAATGGTGCGACAAGGTGGCCAAACCTCGACTGGATGGAGGCTTTCATGGGGCGGTCTCCGAGGGGAGCAGAAACAATGTAAAATGAGGTATGGAAGGGCTGGAGGGCGCTGGCGAGGAAATGGGCACATGCCAGGTCCAGGTGAGCGGACAAGGGAAGGACGCCGGTCTCATGGCAGAGTTTTGGATAGTTTGAAGGCTAGCTATTGCAGTGCATGAGACGACAGGGTACCAGATAGAGGCCGCGTAGTTGAGGATTGGGCGCGTGATAGTTCGGTAAATGGCAATGATGTCCTCTTTGGAGAAGCCCCAGTTAGTGCCGGCAGGAGCTATTAGGATGCGTAGAGATTCTTTGGTTCGCCACCTACGACTAGCAGCATAATGGATACGAATAACAGAAGTGCTGATAACACTCACCGAGGTAGCTGTACTTGTCCACGGGAGAATCGTTTTCTGTGACGGGCCCAAAATATTGCGTCTTGTCTCTGAGTAAAAAGTTTTTGGA